ATCTGCTTCTTGGAAGAACCATAAAATAGATTAACTGCTAGCAAAATTGATTTTATGAAATAGAGAGAAGGCACAAATAATGCTATTAGGAATATAGGAAGAAACATAACCACAAACATACAGTATCATAGAAAAATTGCATTTAAATTATGCTAAAAATGAAAACAGGGATGAACTAGAAATTTTGTATGAGACATGAATTTGAGAATTGACAGAGAATAATTAGAAAACCAGTATTAATCATTAATCATTAAAGATAGTATATTAGTAATCAAACATCAATAGTTAACTTTCAACAACAATAAAGTTTAAATTGCCCTGAAAAAATGTTTTGTCTAATTCCAAGGAATAAGAAGTGTTTCAAAAGAAAGAGAAAATAGGAAAATCAATCAATTTAAGGAAGTGATGATAAACTTGAAACTCAACTGGACAAAAATATTAAAATTATAAACCAATCACTCATATGTATATAGGCCTAAAATCCTAGATTAGATTTATAGGAAATAAAGTCATAAATTAAAAAAGAATAGTAGTGTTAATACTGAATCTTGACCACCGGGGTTTATCCCAGAAATGAAAGAATATTTAAACTTCATAAATGTATTCATGCAATTTACCTTAAAGAAACAGAACATAGAATTTATCTACATAAAAATTTTAAATATTAACTAATTAATGAGGGAAAAATAACTGTTAAAAAAAAAGGAATAAAAGGAGTTTATTCTAACCACAAAACCAGACTATGTCATATTTAATAGAAAACTCTAGTAGAATTTCTATTAATATCTGGAACAGAGAAAGATGCCAGATATTAATTTATGAAAGGGAAGACATAATATTGAAGATATGTTAAATTTTACCAAACTAATCTATAAATTCCCTGTAGTTCTAATAGAAATCCACTAAAAGTTTTTTTGTGAAACTTAAAAAATGGATCCTAAAAATCATATACAATATAAAGTGTGAAGAATAGCCATGAAGAATATGTAAAACATGCAAAAGGGAGGATTGTCATTACTTGATATAAATATTTTTATAAAGCTATAATAATTAAGACAATGTCACATTTATATAGAGTTAGAGAAACAATAAACGAGGCAAAATCGAGTCAAGAAACAGAGCCAAATATATATGGAACCTTATATGGGCAATCAAAAATCTTTGAGGGAAAGATGGTTGGGCAATTTTTTTCATATTTAAAAATAATGAAATTATTCCCCTCAAAACAGAAACAAAAATAACTTCAAATACATTAAAGTATTAAATGGGGGAAAGAAATATTAAACACATGAGAAGAAATCTAGAATATCTCTGTGCCATGAATGTATGGAAGAATTTCTTCTTCAATACAAAAATATAAAGACTAATAAAATGAGTAACATGAGGTAAAAAAGTAAATAAATGGGAAGAATAGTAGACTTGACTACATTTCAAAAGAACAAAATTTCACAAAAATAAGAGGTGAGCAATGGAATGGGAGAAATATTTGGATCCTGTCAAATAAATAGAATATCATTGCTCAAAATAAATTTTTAAACTTCTGTATATTGGTAAGAAAAAGGTTCATTTAAAAAATAGCTTCAAAATATGAACAGGCAATTCACAGAAACAGAAAATTTAATGGTCAATAAACAGAACATCAATCACACTGCTAATTAGGAATAGGCAAAGTAAAATAATAATGAAGAACAATTTCATATCTATCAAATTGACAAATATTTTATAATATGATGACAGTGTTTGTGAAGGTTCAGAATAATTGGAAACATTTTCAAAGCAACAAAACAAAAGATATTTCAGCCTACCAAAAATAGACAGTATGTGGCACACATTTAACTCCTATAAACTCTGTGATCAATTAGATACCACCACAGATCCTGGGGGTCAGAAACCCAGGTTCTTATTGTATCCCTCTGTCTTCTTGTCTCTGCCAAATAAGGGCCACCATATGGTCCCTCTCCTTTAGGATGCATCTCCCACCATTATAGCTGGCCTCTAGGAGACAGCCCCCAAAGGTTATTAAAGGATGCTGGTGCTTCCTTCTCCAATTCCTTTTTTATTTTTTTAAACTCTGGTAAGGGAGTGTTCTCTGGCTCCTCCTGGCAAAACATGGTTTGGGGTAGATGAAAATATTCACATAATAAATCCACTCCAAAGTTCATATATCCCAAAGCCTTCGGACCGTTTCCTCTATAGCTGGATATGAAATCTTCTGTAAGGAGCCAGAGAGCAAATATGTTGGGCTTTGCAGCCCAGTACAGTGCCTGTCTTGCATTCTTATTTATTTATTTTAAAATTCTCTAAACGTTTAAAAACTATTCTTATCTTGATGGCTGAAAAAAAATAAATAAAAGAAAAAACTGGAAACTGGCTGAGGGCTGAATTTGGCACATGAGCCATAGTTTACTGACCCTGCTCTGCAGTAGACCAAGAGAATTCTAGCATTTCAGCCTCAATTTGCATAATCTAGGAATTTGTCCATTTCACCTCATTTAACTAATTTGTTTGTGTACAATTGTTCATTGTATTATCTCATAATCCTTTTATTTCTGTAAGGTCAGTACTAATGTCCCTGCATTCATTTCTTATTTAAGTTAGTTTACATTGTTTCTATTTTTCATTGTCAGCCTAGCTAAAATGTGGTCAATTTTATTGCTTGAAGAACCAAACTTTACTTTGGTGATTTTTCTCTATTGCTTTTCTATTCTGTACTTTATTTTTCTCCATTCTAATCTTTTTTCTTCTTCTTCTTAACCAAAGGAAAAGACAAGCCAAAGACTAGAAAATGTTTGCAAAACACATATCCAATGTAAGATTTCCAACTACAATATATAAAGAATGCTACTCTTCAATAAAAATAACACAATGAGCAAAATTGTTAGCAGAAACTTCACAAAAAATATGTACAATTGGTAAATAACACATGAAAAGATGATCAGTCTCATTGTCATTAGGGAAATGCAAATGCAAACTGTTTAGATGTCACTGTACATCCACTAACATGGCTAACATTAAAAAGTCTGATCATAAAAGTGATGCAACTGGAAATTTCATGAACTGATAGTTGGAATATGAAATGGCACAAACACTTGGGGAAACAATTTAGCAGTTTCTTAAAACTTGAAACCTACCCAATGGTCTGACCCAGGCTCTGTATTCACTGGAAAAGTGAAAACATATGTCTACACAAAGACTTATACATAAATGTTCACTGCAGCTTCATTTATAATAGCCAAAAACTGAAACCAACTAAATGTCCATCAACAGGTGAATGGAAAACAAATTGTCATGTATCTGTACACTGAAATAACACTCAGCAATAAAATAGAGTTAACTATTGATATGTGAGACAGCCCAGATGAATCTCACAGTGATTATGTTGAGATAAAGAACGAGGCCAAAATAAAAAAGAGAATAAGTACTGCCTGATTCAATTTATATAAAGTTCTAGAAAATGCAAATTACTCTACAGTCACAGATCAATGGTTGTCTTAGGTAGGGGGACAGGGAAGGGGACGCACAAAGGAAACAGAGGGCACAAAGAAATTTTTGAGTTTGATGAATATGTTATTATGGTGATTGTGGTGGTGGTTTTACATGTATATACATATGTCAAAATTTATCAGCTAATGCTTTATATATGTGCATTTTAATGCATATCAATTATACTTCAGTAAAACTATAATTTAAAAAGAAACTCTATATTCACAGTGTCAGTTAATTATTAGCTTTAAATGCTATATCTGTAGAAAGCATGATAAGGTTTAGACCAAAGAAGACAAATACGTTTTTTGAAGTCCTGTGAAGACAGAAGTCATCAGGTGAAGTGGAATTACAGCTGAAAAATCAGAAAATATGGAAAATGGAAATAAACGATCTTGTAAGAGGAAGGTATGGATAATAGAAGATAGTTGTTGAAAAATATTGGTGAAAGAATAAAGAGGGAACAAAGGGCATGCAGGTTTCACCTGTTCGTTCATTAGGGAATTGACTGAAATCCTTAATTTCCTCACCTGAAAATGGAATAATACCTACACTATACTTTTTGTTAAAGTTAGTTAACATGACTATTTAACATCTCTGTTACATTATAATCAGGAAAAGCACGTGTTATCACCATCTAACATGAATGTGCCCTTTATATAAAAACATACATTTATTATTTTATGTACTTGTCTACTTGTTTATACAGGTCAACCATTATGAATATTTACCTTGTTTAGGGTTATATTTATAAATTAAATTAACTTTAATGATAAAACAGTTTATTTTTGTGAGAGACTATGTGTTTCAAGCCTGCAAAAAATGAATTTTAAATAGTTTCACTAACTCTTGTCCTATTTGTTAACCTTAAAAGTAGTTTCCTTCAATGAAGTGTTAAGAACCTAGAATCACGTTTTATCAGTTAGACAGTCACTAGATTATTAAACACATTGCTATCAGAACTATTTTATAATATATTCAACTACTGCTTCCACTATCTGAGCTTTGCCTCAACATTCATATCCTTCTGATTCTCCTAACCAGTGTATTCCTTGTTATGAAGCAAAGGATACAGTCAGTGTGGTTGCATAAATATTCAATAAACAAATAAGGTCAATGACATCTTGCACTAAAATAAAATACTAGCATATATGAAATAAGGTGGCAATTACACCTTAATAACAGAAACAAACACTTTACACTTTTACACAAGACAATACAACTCATTCATTCATTCATCAAATATATTTCAGTCACTGTACTAGACACTTGAGATAAATCAGAGGGGTGGGGGGAAGAACAACCTGATTTGAAGTTTATATTTTAATAGACTGAGGCTAACTAAATGAGATAGATAGGTAGATGAGAGATAGGTAGATATAGAGATACAGTATTCTAGAAGGTCACAAATTCTGTAGGGAAAAAAAATTGAACAAGAAAAAGGGAACCAAGGGGGCAAGCAAGGAGTTGGAGGTTGAAATTTTGAATAGGATGGTAAGGTAAGCCCCAATGAGAAAATGACAGGTGAGTAAAATCTTGAGGTGAGGGATTCAGTCTTATGGATATTAGATAGAGTGCAAAGTTTCTAAGGCAGCCTTCACTGAGAGCAAAGAGACCAGATGGCTGGAGAGGAGGGAGTTGGGGAGAATAGTAGTTGGAAAAGTCAGAGAGGTTCAGGGCAAGATTGGGTAGAACTTTGTGTGCCATTGGCTTTTTACTCAGTGAAATAGGAGCTGTTAATTATTTTGAAAAAGGAGGATGTGGACTAATTTCCATTTTAAGAAAATGATTCTGGCTGCACTAGACTAAATAGAATTCAAGCGTAGAGGGATGGAAGCAGGAAGTCATGAGGCTATTGTAATACTCCAAATGAGTGGAGAAGTCTGAGACCATAGTGAATGCAATGAGAAGTTGGATTCTGAATACACTTTGGATATAGAGATGGATAGGATATGGGGAAAGATCGGAATTAAGGATAAATCCACAGGTTATAACCCAAGAGAGTACAGCAGGATAGAGATGTTATTAATTGAGATGTGGATGACTTTGGACGGATCAGGTTTTGGTGGGCAAACATCAAGAAAGCCAACACATAGAAACTTCCATTCTATCAAGTCAGTGCTAAATGCCTTGCACAGGACCAACTGACAGGTATATAAGAGTGAACAAAATATAGTTCCAGCCCCCCTGAGAATTAGCAGCCAAGTGGACCAATTAATAAACAGATTGGGCACTCTCCATCTAAAAGGAAATTGTCTATGAGGGGCTAATACCTATCTTCTCTAACATCACCAAATCTTGGAATATGAAAACATAAAGGGTAAAAATGTGAGTTAAGTTTCAAGCAAACTAGATCTCTTGACCCGATCGGCAGCATACTTATGAAACTAATGGAATTCATTACTAATATTAAACAATAAAAAAGTATAACATGAAATTAACATACTAAATTTCCCCAAGTGCTTTATAGCCTTTATTTTATATATTCAAGTATTACTGCAAGCTAACAGTATCATTTCCCAAGGTAGGCTGCACACTGAGCCGGCACTGACCTCATCTTTGCGATTCGGTGGGAGGGACTCCACTCACAACATCACGGTGGCATATTGGCGACAGGTTGGACTCAGCTACCTCGGGTGCTCCCAGATCTGTGCAAAAGCAGTGAGAGATGCACTGAAGACAGAATTCAAAGCAAATGCCGAGAAGACTTCTGGCAGCAGCATAACAGTTGTAAAAGTCAAAAAGGAATAATCTGCCCTGATTTAACTTGAATACTACATTTTCAGAGTGAAGATGTGTGGGCACATGTTATGGCAGATTGAAAACGATCTCACTTCATGGGGGAAAAAAAATACCTGTCTTTTTCATAGATTGACATTGCCAATAATTTGAAGTAAGGCTCAAAAAATATATCATTTCCCGTATGTTTAAATAAATGTATGATAAAAGAAAACATAATAAATGAAATTAAGACTTTGAGAAAATATTCCTCTTTGATGTTGATCAAGCTTTGCAGTCATATCTGTTTTCTGAAAACCTTAGACTGAATGAACTACGGATTTGACAACTACTATTTTCTAAAACATAACATTTTTTTATATTATGGAAGAAATCCAAGATTATAATACATATTTTGGAATGTAAGAAAAACACAAAAGAACTCCAAAACAGGAAAAATCATGTTTAATCTCTTCTTTCAGAGTTAACCTCTGCTAATATTTTGGTGTTTGTCCTAAGGTAACATGTGTAAAAATGCATATTTTCAAGTAAATATAAACACACATACACACATGTTAACAATTATCAATTTCCCTCAGAGATGATTTGGAATAAAAGAAAGATGTATGTTATATACACTACTATGTATAAAATAGATAACTAATGAGAAGCTACTGTATAGCACAGGGAACTCTACTCAATGCTCTGTGGTGACCTAAATGGAAAGGAAATCTAAGAAAGAGTGTATATATGTATACGTATAACTGATTCGCTTTGCTGCATAGCAGAAACTAACACAACCATACTCCAATAAAAATCAATTAAAAAAAAGAAAGATATATGTGTTAAGACCACATATTGATTAAAAAAGGTGATTGTTAAGGTAAAAAGAAAATAGACCAATGTTATTTTCAAAAACACATTTTAAGGAAGAGTATATCTCTAAAATTTTTAAAAATGTATAGTCAAAATAATATTCAATCAAATGATATTCACTAGATGAATATTTTATTTTCTTACAAAATTTTGACACACATACTATGCATCAAGTGAAAGAAAACTCAATGCTCTCTATATATATCTTATTAGGATTGACTTTTTAGATAAGATCTTAAAATGTATACTTTACATTGATAATGTCATTTCTCCTAATTAAAACACTATAGTTAATGTGTGTGTGTGTGTGTGCACATATGTGTATCCACTTGTTAAGTACTTCTTTCAGTCACTGGTATAATGCTAAGTGAAGAATGACGCAAAATGATATTCATAACAGCAAACATTATACAGAGCTTATGTGCCTAGCTCTCTTCTATATGCTTTCCTATTTATCAACTAATGTGAACCTCACAACACATCAGTGAGCTAAATACAATTGCTACCACCACTTTACTAATGAGGAGAAATGAGTCACAAAGAGATGGAGTGTTTTAGCATAGCTTACCCTATAGTCACAGAGATAGGAAGTGGCACTGGTTTTCACACCCTGGCTATTGGGCTTTAGAATTTGTGTCCTTAACGACTATACTCTGCTGCTTCATATAGTTTCAGCCCATCAATTTCTGTTTTATCACATGAATAGGTATTTTTTAATTATATTGGATAAGTATATATATAATTGCAAATAATCACCATTACTCTCAACTTAAAAAGCTTAATTTTTAGTCTAAATGTTCTCTGGGAACTTTTTTTCAGGCAACTTACATTTACCAATTTCATTTTACAATTATTCATCAGATTTACATTTCTAATTTTTTCATAAGGTCCCAGAAACTTTTCTCAGATTTTAGCACCTCCTGTTATTTTCCAGTATTTATATAACCATGTTTTCCCCTTCAGGCTTGTAAAATAAGTTATTTGTAATTCAGCTTTTCTAGTAGTAGTAGTAGTAGAATTAACAAGTAGTAATTCTACAAGTAATTAACAAGTAACTGTATTAGCTGATCTGGTTCTATTGTGTTTCTTAAAAGACTGCTATGTGCTTAACATTATACTTGATATTGAAATAAATCAAAGTCATTGATCTTTCCCTGGAAGAATTTACAGTTTAGTTGAAAAATAGATAGCTTACCTTCACAAACAAAAACTGTCTATACCAGCATTTCTCAGCTTCTTTTCGTGAAACACAGTGATTTCGCCAGGCTGGACATTCCAATGAGTAAATATTGTGGATTCCTAATTCACTCACTAAAACTTTCACATTCATTAAGTTTATATATATGTGTGTGTGTATATATATGTATATATATATGTATATATACATAAATGTATAAAGTTCTCCACATATTAGTGAATGAGAGCATTATGAGTACAAAAATAAATTTGAATCTCCCCAAATATTTTTTTTTCTTCTTAAAGTATATCATTTTTAAGCTTTCCTGATTTTTGTTATTACTAAGAAGTTACTTGCAGCTATTGACATCTTGGTTTAGAATAATATTTTTCATCTCATATAGTCTTTGAGGACCCATATAGTGGTGGAAGTCTTTATTGAGAAGATGGGGTTTGAAGGATGTGTATCATTGGTATTCAACTTTTAAATGACATTATATTTTTACGTTACTATGGACTTTTACTTAAATGAATCATTCTCCTTGAATTCTGTTGTTTGCCTCAGGAGCATTAAAACAACTTGTATTCAGTTTCACCAAGATCCTATACTGAAGTGGTTATATAGTTCTGTATTCAAGATTGTACTGTATTGAATTGAATTAGTGTTTTTATCAACATAGCCTAGAAACAGCTTTAACTCTTCTGATGAGGACAAATACCTCACAGAAAAATATACCGGTGTTTATTTTTGCCACAAACAAATAGCCAAATATACCTCCCCCTCTCTGTTCCCTGTATCTTATCTCTCAGCATCTCCAAAGAGTCTTACTCTCTATTGACAGACAATTATTAACACCAGAAAACAATTTTAAGATAGTTTTCACTAAGAAGCACTCAAATATTTTTTAATAATCTCAACAGTTAAAAAATTAGTGTATCCTAATTTGCACAATGCTAAATAACACATTTATTTCTTATTATAGAGCAAGCATTTGAAAATTACAATTTCCACAAAACCACCTTTTCTAATAAAATTAAATATTTTACTGTAATATTTTAATATTTCAGCAAATAGTAAGAACATCTAAAGATTTTATGTCTATACCAAATTTTTCTTTAAGCATACTTAGCAGTTTATGTCCAAAGGCAAGCCTGAAAAACCAACCAGATAAGGTCTACAGGCTCTTCTTTCTGCAATGATTTAAAATCTGATTATGAAATATTTTATTGGCAGTTACATAAGTGACTAAGTCAGTGTTTCTCGGCTGTTTTGTGTTAATGGAACATTTTCTAATTGTAGAATTTTCAGTGGATTTCTTGAAGGAATTAAAATATTTAAAGAATACTACAGAAGGCAACACTGATTATCATGTAGTACAATCACCACAATCACTGTACAGTAACTGGTGCTGTGTTGTACAGAGCACTTCCCCAGGATGGACTTCAGCTCATGTCATTTGAACTGTCCCTGACCTGCCTGCTCTTTTATGTCCTCAGTGCAGCCATTGAATTTTGATCTTTCTTCCTACAGGAGCTCCGTGTTACATAAGCTTCTTACTTCTCATCCCCAATCAGTTATATCCTTCTGATGGCTGACTTATACCCATAGTATCTTTTTACTTTCAGTTGTAGTATAAGTGCATTTTAAACGTTGATCAATTTTGACAACATATTCACTAAATATTGTGACTTTTGAACTAAGATATAACCTAAGGAATACACTGCTTTCTTAAACAGAGCTCTGTGGACAGTTACAGTTCACTCTATAAACATATCCAAAGTCTAAATGTAATGGGAATGTCACTCATAGATCTATTTTCTGGTACCCTAATTAACTTTATTTTTTACCCAGTTTAAGTTTTTCAGTGTTGAAACCTAATGACCAGATGACAGATTATTTCATGGCTAATACTTCCATAAATTTGTAAACTTGTGATATAAAGATTTGGATTCTAATTTACTAGAAAATAAGTCTTTGATCTTGGTGCTATGCTGGGCAGGACTCCAGCCTTAAAATTTATGTAAGCCTCTATAAATGATTTGAGGATAATAAAACACAGTTTCAAATTTTCATGAGAGTCATAGGAAACCAACAAGAACAAAAGGTTTCTGTAATTCTTAATCATCCTCCTTATAAGATTATATCCAAAATCAATATTGTCTTTTCATTATTAATGCAGAATATATATTTTAAAAATAATGAAGTACTGCAGTTTTATTTCTCAGTAGTCCCAGTCTCTTTACTTCATGTTTTTATTGGCAGTGGGTAACATAATAGCTTCAATTATATCTGGGGCAGTTAGAAATCATACCACAATTTTAGGTTAATGTTTTTTAATTCACCTCAATAAATAGTTTTTAAGTGTCTCTCACATAAAATCTAGGTATAAAATATTACATAGAATAAAATGGTGAAAAAAAAACCTCTCTTCTCTAGGACCTAACAGTATTATGTGGGCTTTAGGCCTAAATGATAAAGCAAAGTTAGAATGCATGCTATTTATATTTACAGCTAAATTTCACATGATTGATTTACAAGTAAACTTCTTATATGTCAATCATGATTATATGAGGATAATATCAGTTGTGATTGTATCAGCAATGACTTATGAAGGTAAATCTCTCATATTACCAGAAGATAATATTAAGTCTTCCTGAGATGAGCAGGGATACCTTCATGAAGGTGGAATAATTTATGGTAGACATGGAAAAAGGATTTCCAATTATAGAAGCAAGAACAAAAGGAGGAGAAGTGGGAAAGTATAGGGCATCTTATAAACTAAGTAGTTCACTTTTACTAGAGATGATAATACAGGCAGTGCAGAAAAAGAGACTTTACCATTATGTTAAAGAAGTATTATTCCCATTCTTGAATTTAAATTTGGAAACAAAAATTGATATTTAATTCCACAAACAATGGAAATCTGATTAGGTTTGAAAAAGAGCATGGTAGTGTTACAGTTGTAGTAAGAAACATAATT